CCACATTATCCCAGGTTCTGTTCAATCAGATTTTGGAAAGGCAAGCTCTCGGCTACCAAACATCTAAAACATTCAGGCGCTTGAAGACTCTAGTGATAAGTGAGAAAATGGAGGGAAAATTAAACAGGGTTTGTGGCCAGATCGCTGTGGGGGAGTATTCCCATCTTAGTGAATCTTTCAATGAGCTTCTGTTTAAAAGTAAGAAATACAGTAAGAAAAAGAGATGTTCAGATGGATATCAGTCTCACATCAGTGTGCGTTATGCAGTGCTGAAGTCAAATCTGATTAGCTTTTCTATAACATAAACAATGGAAGCAAGGGGAAACAGCTAGCTAAACTAACACACCTTTACCTAAAGCGCATTGATTAACACATTCTCTCATTTCTTTAAGTCTGTAAAAAAAAAAAAAACAACAACAACAAAAAAAAACACAAATATAGAAACACAGTTTGTGGCGGAACTATCAGTCTTTCACCTGTTGCTCCTGTTCGTGTTTCTTGGCTCCATGTTTGAGTCCTCCACCAGCGAAACGATGCGCAATGGGTCCAGATGAGTTTTATAGTCTACAAGCAGGAAGTGGAACAAACCAACTGTCTCCAATCGGGGGGGGGGGTCCACCTTTCCTGAAGCGTTGAGGCTTTCAAATCAATTATGTCACTAAAAGACTCATTACTCGAGGGATTTATTCTGTTACACCCGTCCCGAAAACGGGCGGGAAAGTGATTTAAAAAGAATCACGAATGCAGTTTTCTCCGTCATCCGTTTATTCACAGCTCAACCCAACAACAGGAACTACGGAGGATTTTCCCGCCGGACAACGTGGGCGGAGACAAAAAAACAAAAAAAACAATCGTCATCTAGCAGATCAAGAGCTTTTAATGGATCACAGATAAATCTGACGTGGCTTAATTCCCAACGATGAGCATGAAATAAACAATGAACTCGATAAACGCTTTTTAAAAATTTTACTCCTTTTAGCAAAAAGTCTTTTATATCATTTAGCATTTTTAAACTTATAGCAGATCATTATTGCATTGCATCTATAAATCAATAGTAATATGCAGTGATCAGAACCACTGTGTGCAGGTAATGCTCGCCTCAGAGCACATTATGTGTTATATTACATTATATGTACAGTTAAACATATTTGTTATAGATGATCAGTTTTATCATTATCAGTCTCACAATGTAAAGTGGATACAGTAGCTACCAAACAATTTAAATTGAAAGTAACACCTCTTGTCACAATTCGACATATTTTTGTACAATATATTACATTGGAAATTGATGTTCATTAAACTACAACATTTTTCTTTTTGCTATCAGGTAGAAATCATCCCATACTTATACATCTTTCTAGTGTACATTGCCACACTAGCAGCATGGCTTTGGCATCCACTAAAAACACTAAAGTGTCACAACATCTATCAGAAAGATTGCCCTGGCATTCGTGGTCCCCAGATGATGAATTGTAATGACTTTGGTGATTTCCTCCAGCACCATCAGACCAGCAGGGCAAAGTCTTCCCTTCTCCAGAGAAATATTTCAACATCTCCATAAAGAGATATATTTGTGGTTTTAAGAACCAAAAACCATCTCAGTGTAGTTTTGCATCTCCTCTCTCAGGCTTCTCTCTGGAGCTCTAGTAACAACAGGTCGGTGAGCCAATCAGAAGAGAGGAGTCTCTGAGCCTGTCTTCTGATTGGCTGGCTGATTTCTTATTGATACAATAAAAATACAGCAGATTTCAGGTAAAAACAATCAGAGAAACCAAATACTGCGAGGTTTGGATGGTGGGTCCAGGTGGGCGGGGCTTGGTGACTGCTTTGCTGTGACATCACAAAGTTCCAGAAGTCCTGACGGCTGGTTTTAAGGCTCAGTTTCTGAATACAGGCTGTGTGCATTTCTCTGTGGACTGAGGCTTTGATACTTTCACAGTATTAATATAGAAGCTAGACCTGATCTATAATCACACTACACATGGACAGAGACCTTTACACTGGAGGAGCTTTAAATTTATGGAAGGATTTAAAGTTGACTGTTGGTTGAAATTGGGAAATGAAGACTTGTCGCTCTATAATTACCTTTTGTACTCGCCTGCTCCAGTCATAATTAATACAGGACTTTGCCACTTCAATGTTAATGTGTCATTTTGGGGAACTTGCTGTCATTCTTCTCAGATCAGTGTAAAGCAAAGGAAACATGTTGTATGGAGTGATGACTCACACATCTCTATCTGGCAGTGGGAAGAACAAATCTGTGTTTGGAGGATCACATGTTCAGCCGTAACATATGGCTTCCATACTCAGGTGTCCGCACACTTTTGGCCATGTGGTGTATTTAAACAGGATTCGGTGTGTGCTGGTTAAACAGTGAGTTTCCTGCTGTCTGATGATTCCCCTGTAAATGTCAGAGAGTTTCTGGATGTGGATCTGTCTGCACAAAGAAAATATAGTCACTCAGCTCTTATTGGATGCTGCAGGAGGGAGGATTAAACTCCTTTATCTCCTCTCATATTCTGTCTGTCTACAGTTCTCTCTCACCCACTTTCTCTTTTTGTATCTCGCCCCTTTCCCCGTCCTCTCTTCTTCCTCTTTGTTTTTTGTCCATATGTGCACCTGCTCTCCCCCTCCCCCCTCTCTCTCATATCTTAAATATAATTTTGCGCACACACACACACACACACACACACACACACACACCCACACACAGACACACACACGCACAAACTCATCCTCAGGCGAACATAAAACACACACACGTTACAAGAGTGGACCATGTCTAAACTCTTCACACACATCCATGAAGGCGCGTGCACGTGGACTTCAGTTTCACCAACACACACACACACACACACACACCGCACAATGAACAATGAACCCTTGCGCAAACACACACCTATGGACATAGCAAACCCGGAGGCGCGCGCAATGATAATAATAATATATGCGCGTGCGCGTGATCTACAGTCTTCACACGCAAACATTTACATGCATAAACGTGCACGAGCACAAATAGACTATACTTCCTCATATCTCAGGCACGCACACTCGAATTCACACTCGAACTCTCTCTCACACTCACACTCACACACACACACACACACACACACACACACACACACACACACACACACACACACACATCGAAACTCGTAAGTTTAGTTTCTTAAACACACTCCTTGGAAACACACACACACACACAAACACACACACACACACACACACACACGCACGGGCACGCACACGCGAATCATCAGCACGACTCAAACTGCATTCCGGCAGAATCAGCTCTAATCATAAAAATCCTGAATCTGATCTGAAACCAGCTGAAACACACGACCAGGGATCCATCGAGGAGTCCGAGAGACCCGTCAGCGATTGATCCTGATTGATTGATTGATTGATTGATTAATTGGTTTATTGAGAAGATGAAAATCTGAGGGATAGCTCAACATGCTCCCATCCCAAATAAACCAAGAGAAAACACAACAGTTCCAATCTTTAATCTGCACTCAGAGCTTTCATTCACGATTCACTGATTGATTTTTTTTACCTGTTAAATCTTTTCAATTGCAAATATCGTGATGCGTTCAGGTACCTTTCTCTCCGCAGCAGGAGCAGGTGTTTCCTCTCTCGGTGTCACAGGTCAGACAGATGTTTTCTGTCTCCAGCTGTTTGTCACATCACACAAATATTTTTCGTTAAATTCCTGTGCGGGGGACTTGATCCGGCTCCGCACCAGCATCCATTCACCACAAGGGCAACAAAATAAATTAAAATCCAAATCCACTTTTCCCTGTTCCTGCAGTTAGAGCGCGGAGCGGAGCTGTTCCTGGTCCCTCACAGAGAAGTGGTAAATTCCTGTTTCTCACACTCCGGATCACCTGCAGGTGTCGGTTCGACTCCCGGTTAAGCCCGGAGATGAGACTCCGGAGCCCGGGTCACTGTCCTTCCACAGACAGTTCTCAGATCAGTGTGTCGAACTGGTTAAAGACATGTTCACATCAGGGTCGGTTGGTTCCAGAAGAGAGAAGTCACGGACGCGCGTTTGTTTGGTTATTTTTCTTCCGCTTGTCGCAGCCCTCCGAAGTGCGCGGTGCGGTGCGGTGCGGAGCGGAGCGGTACGGCGCGGCTGCCCTGCGTCACAGGATAACACGGGAGGCTCTCAGGCTCATCACACCAGCCGAGTTCAGGCTGATGAGAGTCTGAGGGTCTCATCAAGTTCCCCAGTCACACAACTGATCTCAGGTCTGAGCAGAGAAAGCATGGTCCTGGTCCTGGACCTGGTCCGGGAGCGAAAAGACAAGTGCGTCCAGGCTGCAGACAACATCAAAGCAGAGAGGATGAACGTGTGCGCGGCTCGTGCAGTAACAGATGAAGTTAATGATCTTCACCATGCAGCCTGACAGAGAGGAGCTGCCGGGGGTTCAAACAGCAGACGTGGAGGCGGGACGCCCCCCAGCGGACACACACAGCAACTACAAACAAACAGCACCAGACTCCAGTGGTGGAGGAAGTTCAGATCCTTTATGTAGAGGCTATATGTCTTCAAACTAATTTAAATTCAACATAAAATCAGAAGGCCACTGATGCACTATGGGGGATGTAGTTTACACAAGCTAAGGAATCCACTGGCCAAACAAAGCCACTGTGTTTTTCCTTTGATTTATTTATCCAAACAAGCAGCAAATAGAGGAACAATGGGATTTCGAGAAAAAAAACATAAACTCACTGAGGTGCATGCTGGTCCTAAACCTGTCTACCTACCTAAATAACCTCAAGTATCCATAGTGTTACCCAAATAAACAAAATACTTATTAGCCAGAAATAATTGCAAAAAAGCAAATCATATAAACAAAAGAGAATATTATCAAGAAATAAAACAGAAACACAACAAAAAAACATTTGTGTTCAGCATAATTTAATTTTTGTAATCTTGTGTTTTTGTTACGTAAAATGGAAACTGAATTGAGAAATTCAGTGTGGGCGTTCGCATATGTTGGAGGGGGCTAACCTCTGAACATATTACATTTGTAACTCTGTGAAAGTGAGGTTGCACTGGGGGTTTTCTGCCGCCGTAGCGTACAGATTCTCCCTCAGAAAGACCAACGTCTTCCTCCAGGCGTCTTCCTGAGCGCGAGAATGTGCCAACGTCTCTCCACCCCACAGAGCCATGACTGCAAAGACAAGACACAGCAGAAATTGTTCAAACTACAAGGCTGAAGTCCTGATTTTTTCCTAGTCTGAAAGTGTACCTACCACTGTGAGTTGATTCCACTGATTTAAAAGTGCTGGTTTTGGCGTGTGGCGTGTACGGCGGTTCAATCAGGTGACCGGCGTTCAGGTACGACAGCACAGTCAGCAGGTGGCTGTTCCCCGCTCGCTCCATCATCTCCTTCATCTGGAAAACAGGAAGTAAAAAAAACAGACATGTTTCATTCATTTACATTTTAATTCTTTGTGAAAGGTTTGTAAATGTGCAAATATGTCATTTTGAGTCTTGGTCCAGGTGTGCTCTGAATCCCATGAGTATGTCATGATAATGACGAGGGGTTAAATTGGGTCGGGGCTCAGCTCTTCTCTGACATTGGGCATACTGAGACAAATCCCAGTTGGTCAACCATGAAAAATCCATTGAGTTTTTACCGGGGCCTTCTCTTGGTGCCTGTCATTCACGGTGCGCATAGTACTGCATCAAAAAGTGATTGTCAGTTGAAAACTGGAGCGTGCAGCCTGTTAAAGCTAAATCGACCATGATAACTATGACCTTAATATTCAAATATACAACATTATTATTCCAACGCCATCTTATGACAGTTGTGTCTGTATGACATCACAGTAACGCTTCAGTTTCCTCTCTCATCAGTCAAAAAGTTTAAGCTAACATTTCAACTTCAAACCTCTGGAAGAAGATTATAATTCACACAGGACGTCGTCATGTCAGTGAACTCACGTCCATTGCAGACTCGTAGGCGGGCCAGTTCTGATCGTCCTCACCTACAACCAGCAACAGAGGACACTGGAGTCGTCCCACCTGCTCAGAGACAAACAGCAGCAACGCTTCAGATTTCTTCACCTGCTGTAGCTTCAAATGTCTGTGAATCACCTGGGGAAGTATTCAATTGTGGCTTTTGAAACATCACTTAAAGTGAGAGAAGATACTTCAGTTTCTTGTAGAATGAGAAGAAAATTTATATCTGAATAAAAAATTCATCCACACCTCTGTTAAGTCTCTAAACCACTGATTCCACAGCTGAAGGCACATCATGCAAATCACCTATTAACTAAGGAAAACTATTGGAAAAAAAAAACTATTCTGATGCATCCATTTTTGTTCCAAAAACATATCAAATAAATAATTATAATCTTGCAAAATTGAATCTATAAATGTGTTATGTAGCTTGCAGGTGAATTAACTGGTTCACAAAAATCCAAAAATCCTCAAATGAAATCCACCAACAGGCTACGGGAAATATTTGTTCAGTGATTTTGTTGTCCTGTTGTTGTGTGGTGTAGTACTATCAAATAAAGGGGAAAATGCCGTAAAGAACACAATAGAAAAACAGAGTGACAAAACTGAAAAGTGAACTGTATAAGAATCAGACACTGTTGGTGATACCCACATCCACTTTGAGTGAGGGGTCGGTGGGGATGGGCAGCAGCAGGTCTCTAAACATCACCTGGTTCTCCTCGTTGTAGCGAGTCTTCCCAGCGTTTCTGATCGGACAGAAAACAAAACAAACAAAAAAAAGGACTGAAAAATCTTCTCAGATTCTGACTGATGATGATTTCACTATTCACTTCATGTCTGTTCATCTTCTCTTTGTTCAACTTACTCGTGACAGAAAAGCAAGAGTTCTTTCAAAAATCCATCAACCGGCTGCACATGACTCCCGCTAACACACACCGCACACCTGAGCTGGGAGACACACACACACACACACACACACACACACACACACACACACACACACACACACACACACACACACACACAGGTTTACACAGGATCAGCTGATAAAGATCCTAATCTCAATTCATTTAAATCGTCAAGTGACACAGAACAGAAAAACTTCACAAATGATAAAGTAACAATGAGCTGAGCTACGACACGATGATGAAAGTCTGTTTCGTTTACACTGGTTGTACCTTTACAACTTGGGAGTAAGCAGCCATTTTGAGGGTGACACTGGCTCCAAGTGAAAGGCCCAACATGGCGATCCTGCTGCCGAGGACCTGGGGATGCTGCTGCAGGACTCTGTAGGCCGCCTGCAGCAGGGAAACATGTCATATACAATACAATACAATACAAACTGCTACAGCTGAGACACAGAGACAAGACCAGGGTCTGAACACTGAATTCCTGGATCTCTCCTCTGTAGATTTTCCAGATGTTTCTGTTTTTTATTATTTTAGAACGCTGTGTTCCACTGGGTTCCTCTGAGCTTTTCTCTCCCTGAACTGATGGATTACAAATAGAGGGAAAGAGGTGTGTTAAACAGAAAACTCTCTGAGGCAGGTTTGTAATTTGGGATTTTTGGCAGGACAAATTTAACTGACTCATGTTTAAAGATTAGTCAAACACCCTTTCCTGCCTCCAGCCAATTAAAACTGCTGTTAAACCATGTCACAGTTGTGACGATGTTACAGCATCAAAGGTCAATGTTTACTGTCTAACACCAAAACTACCCTGTAGGTATCTAAGTCTGAACTCCAGTTAACGCCCTGGTGTTAAATTAATAAATTAATAAATTAATACATTAATACATTAATACATTAATAAATTAATATTTAACACTTCTCCTCGCCAGAATCTAATTTCTGGCAGAAACTCTTTTAGACAACAGCTACTAGCAATGAGGTCCAAAGCACCTCCACATATACATGAATTTTATTACATTTACATTTAGAAAAAGTACAACATTTAAAGCTTAAATTGGCTCTTTATCAGGTTTTTAAAATAACAAATAAAACTGAGGCGTTCACATACTGATGATGTGATGTGATGACAGGTCTTTGCACAGCTCTGGAACATTTATTGGTACTGCAACACCAGACATATATCGTTCATCAGGTTTACCTCAATGTACTTGTTGTCCACCATCTTCCCGGTTTCCATGGTGATTTCAGGTGTCAAATAGTCAAGAGCCAGTGAGGCGATGCCGTGGGAGGCAAACAGCGCTGCACGGTACTCCAGCAACTTCCCTTCGCCGCCCCACAGGTCCAGGAGACCAGGGAAAGGTCCGGGTCCTTCAGACGAGTCAAAACACCAAACACAGTCCGTTCACATGACAATGATTTTACATGTCGCAGATGTTCCTGCCAATCTAAAATCTGATGGAAACCTTTATTCAGTGTTTCCTGCCAAGATTGGTCACTCATTTTTTCCCACAGTGCCAGCGTACCAGCTACTAACTTACACCGAACTTTGTTAACTTTGGTGTCTGATGTTCGTCCAAGCACCCACTAGTTTTTGTTACAAAATAAGACTCTCCTCTGGTCCTACCTGGGGGCAGGAAAAGGGTCGCAGTGAGTCCATCCTCTGTGATCGGGATCCTGCGGATGCCAGGCGCCATGTACCAGCGCTCCACCACCACACAGGCCAGCGGCACCTGATCCATGAACCCCTCGGTCTGGTGACCTTCGTACACTGAGATTGTGACCTCCATGGGAGTCTGGACGTTCATCTTCCTCATCCTGAAGGATGATAGGAAAGTCTGATATTAATGATGATCGATAACGATCCAGTACTGTTGGGTATCATCTGAACAGTTCTGGCCTGGTTGGCGTACCTCAGTCCAGGTTTGCTGCCTGGAACTGCTCTGAAGCTCCACAGTAGACCCATCGGTTCAACCCCTGTATATGTCCCGCCCAGACTGGGATCCTCTGAAACTGCAAAGTAAAAAGTGTTAAAAAAAAAAATTTTTTATTTTGTTGTTTATTATTTCAATGCGAATATTCCAGGTCCCCTGAACTATGTACTATTCACAGTCTTGGTGGCATCAGCAGTGTAATACCATGTAATACCATGGCTACATTCTGTTCTGGTACTTCAACTGATACTTCCCGATGTGGCGGTCCTTCCAGCTGCAGGCTTCACTGGTACATGGGGATCTCAACCAGCCGATCTCAGTTTACAAAATATCACAGTCAGACAGGCATACACAGTTCGATCTCTTTGTCAGATCACTGGCCATACAAGTATTGACAGACATCTCTTATCAACTGTTTGTTGTAATTTGTGAATTTAGTTTCTGTGTCATCAGTTTACTGCTAACAAGTTTTCCATTATAGACGCGAGCTGTCTGAGCCTAAGTCATCTGACGAGAATCGAGAGTTACTGCACAGACTCGTTTTCAAAACAAGTCTTGTCTAACTACTCATCTTTAGCTGATTGTGGTTGTATTTGAGGCTGAGCTTCTTTGGAGGAAGAATTAATATTCCTTACTTCAGTAAAAGAGGCATTGCAACACTGTAAAAAATACTCCATTACAAAATGTTACTAAAGTAAAAGTTATGCAAGTACTATCAACAAAATGCACTTTCAAAGTAACAAACTGCATTCGACCCAGAAGAATGGACCCTGTGAGATTAATGTAATTTGGTGTTAATTATAGGGAAAATGGAGACAGTGTTCAATTGGAAATTTTATGCAGTTCACAAATGTTTCTGTACCTTCAAACATTTTAAATCAATTTTTTTCTGTATTTCCCAGGTCTCTGTATTGAACCATGCACCGTTCACAATCCCGGTGGCATCACAAGTGTTAATACCATGTGACACCGTGGCCACATTGTGCTCTGATATCATATGGTTATAAACACATGCCAACACATTCTGACCAGTCCCCATGACTTTTAAAACAGAAACGTGACAGCTGATCCTTGTGCTGTGGGGCAGAACTGACTCTTCCTGATGTGGCATCCATCCAGCTGCAGGCTTCAATGTGAAACTGGTTAAATATTTGCTTAAAAGGTACATAGAGATCTTAAGCGGCAGATCTCAGTTATAAAATAACAGGTTAACTGAGGACATCTCAGTTAGCTGTTAACAAATTTGCCATTATAAGTGCTAGATGTCTGTGGCTAATTGGTAACCTACTTGTTGGGGTTTATTTCCTGTAAATGAGTCTTGAATGTCTTTCAGCACCTCCACAGCTGCATTGTAAATCATTTTACAAGATTCCAGTTACAACAAGTTTAGTCTAACTAATTGTAATTTGGTATTAATTATAGGGAAAATGGAGACAGCGTTCAATTGGGATTCTAATAGAAAATGTGTTTTTTATCATCATTTCTGTATCTTCAAACACTACTGAATTCATTTTCCAGGACTCTGTATTGAACCATGTACCGTTCACAGTGCCGCTGGCGTCGGCAGTGTAGTGACCGAATGCCTCCCAGCTGTGCCCATCTTCACACTGGTGGAGGGCGTGGACGGTCAGCTGCAAACCAGGTGGAACGCTCTGGACCAGGACAATGAACTTCTCATCCATGAGTCCTCTGGACGGCTGGACCGACAGCTTCACACAACACTGCTTCCTGTCCATCCTGAACTGATTAAAAAAAAAATAACCAGAGACGAGTTAGACGTCAAAATATTGGTAAAACCAAAACCATCTGATTGGATAGATGATGAACAACAACAACAGCAAAATGTCCTGAAAGTATCAAGAGTAAAATGATTCAATACAGAAAATGGATCGTGTTTAATTTGGTTTTAATTGTAGTGAAAATTGAGAAAATGCTCAATTTATTTGGACTAAAATGCCGATAACTTTCCAGGAAATTCCTAGAGAATTTTCAGTTAATTAATTTGAACTATCTTGAATACTGTTGTCTGGTTTCTTTTGCATTTTACTCTTTAAATTTGATTTAAGTCTTTTTATATTACCTCTCAGCTCTCTGCATTAGTTTCTTCAACACGACCACAGAAGAACTGGTCATTTACAGAGTGAGATAAATCCTCTCTGCGTCTCTGAAGACACACCTGGTTAATTCTCAACCAGTTTCCCTTAAATTACACAATTATTCTTTACATTACATGTATGAACTACTTACTGTACAAGCAGAGAACAGACCTCAGAGCTGTTATCTTCACGTTTGTCAGCTGTTACTAAACTCGTCAAAGTCAAGAAACAAAACTATGGCAGAGTCTGTGTGAATCTGAATTTATTAAACCATCTGAACTGAAGCCTCAGCATGTGGAGCCTCTGTCTCCTCCCACAGAAACATCACCCTGTCTGGACACACGGTGGCGCCATCGAGCCGCTGAAACTGCACATTCAGTCTGGTGGTCAACATCCACATCAGTACATCAGTTCAGATCCTGGGGAGGACTACATGTGACCAAGGTTAGGGTTTTTCATTTTTTAGCTTCTAACGCTCCGAGGAGAGATTTGGAAAATGTGGGAGGGAAGGGGAGTTTTTAATTTTTATTTAATCTCAGTCTTCACTTGAGAGATTTGTCAAAAAAAGGATCAAACACTGTTTTCATGTTTGCAACGTGTGTTTTCCAAGCAGAGGATCAATGTAGTCTCTGTATCAGGGTTTTAAATTCCTCATCACCATCAAACAAGCAGCGAATGTCCAGTTTGAGAAAACACAACAAACATCAGTAACAACTGTCAGTATGACTCTGATACATAATCAATGATTGATTACCCTGGAGCGGTGTTGCATTATTTCCAAACATGTTTATTGATTTTGCATTTCACTGATGTAATGATGGTACAGTATGATGAGCAGATACAGGATAAAAAAAGGATGGATTATAGTTTTAAATGATTAATCACTGATATTATTTATCAATTTATCAATCACAAGCTCCAGCTATCCCCTGATGTCAGTTTCCCCTCGCTGCCTTTCTGTTTTGTATTATTGCAAACTGAATATGACATTTTTTACACTAAATAATTGATCAATTCATTAAAAAAATACATAGGGCAATTACATGTCATTAATAAGGTAGATACATTTGTCCTACAGTGAGCACATTCAAAAGTCAAAACCAACCAGAGCGAGATGCCATCACAAACTGTTTTGTTCCTTATTTTTAAGATGTGACCAGGTGGTTTTCAGCGAGACTGAGATGAGCGACCACAGTCCCGGGTCGTCGAAGTGACGGGGAAGTGAAGCACAACGGTTGAGCCGGAGCGTAGGTTGTGACCATGGCTCGTGACCATGGAAAGAGCGGTTCCTTTCAATGCCTTGCAAACCGGCACCAACAATCATCTCAAAGTCAAAGTCACTGAGATCACATTTTTCCCTTATTGTGATGTTTGATGTGAAGAGGAACTGAAGCTCCTGACCTGTATCTGCAGGATAATCGTATCAATAAGCAGGTGTACAGGTGTTCCTATTAAAGTGTGTGTTGAGGATATTTATTAACACAGTTCATCTTTTGTACTGACGATTGAGTCAAGAAGGTTCCATAAAAGTGCTTCAACCATGAGTCACATAAAGCTGTCTCTGTGGAACAATTTATGGGGATTTTCAGTTGCAGAACCAGGGACGCCCCAAATTAACTTCTCTCACTTATCAACTCTATTAGTTGTCACCTTGATTACAGGTTGGCAAAAGAGGTTGCACCAGGGTTTCTGCCGCGGTACAGATTCTCCCTCAGAAAGACCAGCGTCTTCTTCCAGGCGTCCTCCTGAGCACGAGAATGTGCCACCGTCTCTCCGCCCCACAGAGCCATCACTGCAAAGACAACAGGCAACAGAAACAGTCATCAACACTCAAGTCTGAAGCCCTGACCTACAATCATTCAGAGAGTTTCTGTCTCTGTCTACGGGTTCCCAGTCTGAAGGTGAACCTACACTTCTGACGCGTCTGGACCGTTCTGAAGGTGCTGGCTCGGGCGTGCGGTGTGTACGGAGGTTCAATCAGGTGACCTGCGTTCGGGTATGACAGGACAGTCAGCAGGTGGCTGTTCCCCGCTCGCTCCATCATCTCCTTCATCTGGAAAACAGGAAGTCAATATTTTGTTAATGCTGTTTTTGCTGAAGTCATATCAGGAAAATGCCAATAATTTCTATATCAAAACAAATTTCAATGAAAGCGTTTCTACAGGGATTAAAACAATGAAATGGCTGAGTTTTAAAAAGGTCATGAAATATTTCACAGATGGTAGTGGTGCATTTACATATTGTACTTTATTCATATATTTAATTTATTTTTTAACGTCTTATTGATTTACTTAGTGTTGGCCCCTTTTGAATTCCATATATCCCCGAAACTACTCATCCAATTTCTGCTATCATACTTTCTAACCCAACTTCAATCCTCCGGACTTAAACACTTCACACAGGACGTCGTCATGTCAGTGAACTCACGTCCATTGCAGACTCGTAGGCGGGCCAGTTCTGATCGTCCTCACCTACAACCAGCAACAGAGGACACTGGAGTCGTCCCACCTGCTCAGAGACAAACAGCAGCAACATTTCAGATTTCTTCACCTGCTGTGGCTTCAATTGTTTCTGCATCATTTGCCATCACATGGGCAATCATGTACCTGAGCATTTTGAGACATTACCCACAGCCAGAGGTGAATTTACCAGCAAATACCTCAGTTTTTTGGAGATTCCCCAGAAAATGAAAGAATATAAACTTATGCACACTGCCGTTTAGTCTGTGAACAAATGGGATTCCATGTGTGAAAGCACATAATACAAACCACCTGTTCACTACTTGTTAATTTTAAGACCAAAAACACGGTTACAAATCAGAAAAATTAACTGTGTAAGACCGACATGGATGGTGGTACTCACATCCACTTTGAGTGAGGGGTCGGTGGGAAGGGGCAGCAGCAGGTCTCGCCAGATCACCTGGTTCTCCTCATTGAAGCGAGTCTTCGCGGCGTTTCTGATTGGTCCCAAAAAACAAACAAACAAACAAACACAAAAAAAAAAACACTTTTATCTTTCCTAATTCTGACTAAACTTATATTTACTGCTGCTGGGTCTTATCAGTTTATCACATTTTAGCCACTTTACTAGTAACAGGAAGTGAAGTCTTTAACGAGGTTAACTGAACCCACTGTGAGCTACCGCTATAACAGTTACACATTTCATGTCATGTCACGGTCTGTTTTACCCGAACAACGCAGTTAGAAGTGACGCTAGCAAAGATGCTAGCACAATAAAAACAGACGTTAGCACGTATTTAGCCGGTGTTTGGCTAACATACAGTTTGGCTCTCGTTCACTGTATTTCCCTCGGATTCACATTTATTATTAACCAACTCTAAACAATGAACCGACTCACATTTAAAACCTTCGCTCCGCTAGAGATGAATCACAAACTCTTAAACACTTAGCTAAAGGCAAAACAAGCTAACAAGCAACTGAACCAAATATTCTAACCCGTTCGTCAACCGTTAATTAATAAACCTAATAAAAAAAACTACCACAGTTAGTAGCCCCCAGTGACATACGTACATTTAAAGTATAATGAAACTTACATTCTTCAGAGTTTCGGACACTTTTAAGTTGTAAATCATCCATCTTACGGTACTGTGATGTTACCTCGGGGTGCGTTCACAGCAAGGCCAGACAGCAGCCAATTCAAAAATACTGTCGTCCATAAACTAGCCTCCCATTTTAATGTCAGCATCATCCTGAATGTAAATTTGTCAGAAAATAGAAGAGTATTGAACTAATTTTTCCAGGACAACACAGTACATTTTACTTTCTCATTTTCCATGTTTTCAAGGACTGGAAAACTTTTAGTTTTTTCCGGGACACGTGAGAACCCTGGAATTCCTTTTACCGCTGTCTGTAACGTTTTACAACTCACTCTACTGAGCGCCATTTTTAATTGATATAAATTTGAGAGTTTGTGTTTCACTTCAGATTCTGTTTGAAAGATTCTTAATAGTAGTCGTGCTAAAAATACAAAGTTTGTCCTGAGGGTGGCGCTAAAGGAAAGGTCATAGGGTAATTAACCAGGAACAGGATAAGGACATTCAACAACAATCTGACCAACAGTGGTTGTTGAGTTGCTGAACTGAAATCTTCAAGGTACCGACAATAGATGAACTTACTGGTTAAAGAAACCCATTATTTGTTCCACAGATCCTTCGACCGGCTGCACATGACTCCCACTAATACACACCGCACACCTGAGCTGGGAGACACACAGACACACACAAATACAATAACAGCAGCAACTACTACTACTACTACACTTTTCTTATTTAAGAAAACAAAAAAGTCTAACTTTTCCTTTTATTCATGTACGACTTGTCTTACCTTTACAACTTGGGAGTAAGCAGCCATTTTGAGTGTGACACTGGTGCCAAAGGAAAGTCCCAACATGGCGATCCTGCTGCCGAGGACCTGGGGATGCTGCTGCAGGACTCTGTAGGCCGCCTGCAGCAGGGAAACACACACATCCTCATAACTCATAACATTAAAGCATTTATATTAAAATACATATCAACAAAGACTGTGGTGATGGTGACAACTGGGATGTTTGTTCATCATAGAACTGATGGCTGAAAATTCAAATCTGAAATGTTTTTAATTGGCCACACATTTCCATAAACCAGCCCTCATCAGGTCTTGGCAGCTGGTCTATCAGCTGCTTTAATCTGGGTTTGATCTTTGACTCTGAGATTTATTATCATTGTCAGAGGACTTAAACTGTGCAATCATGTTCTTGATTGTAAAAAAACTGATAACCTCACCTAACCAATTCATACATGTGTGTATGTCTTATCTGAATTGAAGGTTTATATAAATAGAGGGTGCCGTATGTTGTACAGAAAAGTCTCTGAGGCAAATTAGTAATGATGTGATTTTTGACACAACAAATTAAATTGACTTTCTTGACGTTCCTGCCTCCAGCTTGATGCTACTGTTATGACTTTATTACACTGCTGATGTTTAGCAATGATTTTATGACGTTATTGATCAGAATAAAATCACTACAGGGTGCTACGTGTTTTGTCACAGTTTGATATTTTCAGAGGCGTCGTAGTGAGGGGAGCAGGGGACGACCCCCACCTGTTTTCTCTAGCTATGGATTGTGTGCAGACTTTATTCTGTGTTTGAGACATTTCATTACTGGTTAGCCAGTAACTACTACAGATGCATGGGTTTACACTTGTTGATTTAGTTATTCATACAGAAGAAACACAAGAAAAACAGCA